GGAAACTGTATATGCTAGCGTGAAAATGTTGGGATCAAATTATGCAAATAAGTCAAACTGGGTTTGGGGATATATAAAGCAAGAATGAAAAATGCAAAAAAATATATATTTAGGTGATAAATAACGCTAACAATGATGTGAAAAATTATAACAAGTAAAACAAAAACTTACGCAATTGACACGAACCGGTTTTCGAAATATTATCCTTTTTCAAGTGTCGAGGAATGGTTATAGTTTATAGATCTATGTAAGTTGTGTTATAGTTTATAGATCTATATAAGTAGGGTTATAGGTTATAGATCTTGGGTTTTCACTATTGAATTATTTAAATCGCCCAAAATTAGTTTTGAAAACATATTTAAAATGTCATCATTGAGTATTTCATTGTAGGGCTGAGATTTATCGTAAGCAGGGTGATGTTACCATGGCTATAGTCAACTTTACTCAAGCCATCAAATTCAATCCCACAGATCATGAAGCATATTTTCAGAGAGCTCAGATGTATGAACAGGTATTGTATCAATTTATTTACTTATTAAAGACTGTTTATTGGTATCTGAGTTGACTAAGTCAGATATCAAACTAGATTGTTAGCATTATACACAATATATTAGGCTGCAGGTTTCCAATTTTACTAAATGCTGGTACACAATCTTGTAACTGATTACACTGAGTAGCTTTCAATACAACTCAATATCAATATTAACTGATTACCCTGATTTTCATACATCCCACTCTTAATTTCATCTGATTACTGAGTAGTTTTCAATACAACACATTATCAATTTCAACTGATTACTGAGTAGTTTTTAATACAACTCACTATTAATTTCAACTGATTACCCTGAGTGGTTTTCAATACAACTCACCATCAATATTTCAACTGATTACACTGAGTAGTGTTCAATACAACTCACTATCAATTTCAACTGATTACACTGAGTAGTGTTCAATACAACTCACTATTAATTTCAACTGATTACCCTGAGTGGTTTTCAATACAACTCACTATCAATTTCAACTAATTACTGAGTATTTTTTAACACATCTCATTTAATTTTAACACTAGTAGATTTAGATTACTGAGTTGTATTCTTTAATCAACTGATTGCACTGAGTAGCTTTCAATACAACTCACTATCAATTTCAACTGATTACCCTGAGTAGTGTTCAACACAACTCACTATCAATTTCAACTGATTACACTGAGTAGTTTTCAATACAACTCACTATCAATTTCAACTGATTACGCTGAGTAGTTTTTAATACAACTCACTATTAATTTCAATTGATTTCCCCAGGGCTGTTTTCAATACAACTCACTATCAATTTCTACTGAGTATCCTGAGTAGTTTTTAACACAACTCAATTAATTTTATCACTAGTGGATTTAGATTACTGAGATGTATTCTTTAATCAACTGAGTAGTTTTCTATACAACTCACTTATCAATTTCTACTGATTACCCGAAGTAGTTTTCAAAATAACTCACTATCAATTACTAATTATTGGAATATTTAATTTACGGGGTTGTATTCTTTAATCAACTGATTGCTTTGCAAAAAACCGAGGCCCTGAGGCTGTGCATATTAAAGATTCCTCGACATTTGGAAATTGAAAAAAGCATAGGCTAATTCTGCTGACCTGGCAAAATTTCAATCATTGCATTCTGCATGGCGTTATCCGTCTTCATAAACCCATAAGGTGCAGAAAATGACTCACACTTTTTTGTCTGTGCCTTAGATTTTAACCTGAATTTGTATTTATTTTAGAGAGGTGAAATGTTATTAGCTCTAGAAGACTATACCACATGTAAAAGAATAATGCCCAGTAGAACTGATGCCATAATGAAACATGGATTGTATTATTTTGAACATGAGTAAGTACATGTATATAGGTTTCATTAATTGTACTTAAAATATCATGCATTTTGAAAATTTCACATGAATATATATGAGTATGTTGGCTTCATCCACGTTCGTCCGTCCAAGTCCGGCCATCCACAATTGCTTGCAAATACTCTAAAGGCACAGTTCTTGACAGGTTTTGCTGAAACTTGGTGTGCATGGTTTTAATCACCCTAGTATGAACCCTATTTAAAATAAGAAAAATTGGAAAAGTAACCACTTAAGAAGCACAATATTGAAAGATTTTGACGAAACTTGGTGTGTATCTGTCATCATCCAAGGTTGAAATCTATTGAAAGTCCAAAAAAAGACTTAAAACATTTGGTATGAGTTATTACCATTGTTCTTGAAAATGCGTTCAATTTTTAGCTCATAAACACTCTAGAAGGTGCAGTTCTAAGTGGATATTGATGAAACTTGGTGTGAATGTTTGTAATAACCCATGGATGATCAAAACTGCAAGTGGGCATATAGTACGTTGCCAGGCAAGCTATCTTGAATGTTTTGAATCATATTTGCCAGAGAGGTACCCAGTATCAGTTTTGTTTTACAAAGGTTTTAACTTATTTGATTAATACCAGTTTGTCATCAATATTTATTTTGTGAAACTCATTCAAGGTGTGATGATGAGGCTAGGTTTAGTAAATCAGCCAAACCTTATATACCAATGAATTATCCTATATCAAGAAGGTAATGGTAACACATTGGGCCAAGTAGCAGTTTGAGTTACTGAAAATTGTTCTGTTGTTACTTTACTTTTGATTCTTTTGTTTTATTGATTATATTTATTGTTATAAAAATTTTTTTTGTGGTTTTCATAATTAGAATGTACTCGTTATTCTCTCTTTATCATTATGTGACATGGATAATAAAAATTCAAATCATCAAACGTATATAGTGGAATGTGCTGATTTTTTGAGAATTTTAATCCAGTTGTTGATTGTTTGGAGAGTTGTTGTTCTTTTTTTCATACTTATAACGTTGTAATTTGTGTAAAGTTATCCTTTATTCTGAAATTAGTTATCTTGATGAGAATTTTGTATCTGAAACACAAATAAGTAGCATGAGTTGAGCTCTTGTCTTGTGTCCCCATGGGCTGAATGTTAGACAGGACCATATTTTGGGTGTCGCTTGATTGGAGAGTTCTAAAACAGGTTCCACCTGTTCCAATTCTGGCCTCAATCGAATGGTACAGAAGTAGATATGTCACATTTCAAATTTTCTGTCTATTTTATTCTCTGCCATTTTGAATTTTGTCTGCACCTACTATATTTTCTGAAGCAAATAGCACTCTGAACTGTGTTTCAACTTGTTTTATTCAGTGTTTGGTTGATTCCATGAAGAACTCACCAATCAAGTTTAATGGACCTAATTCTGCCCCATGTAACATAACTGTAATTATCGTATATATATATTATGTTTTCCCATTTATCTCTCGGGGAGTTATCATGTCTGTTGTTTTTATTTCATAATTTCTGATTGTTGTTGTGTTAGACCTTTTTTCCGACTTTCATGCGGAATATTTATAAATTGTTCTTTTTGCAGAAATCCAAATTGGAATAATGCCATCAATGATTTTACTGATTTACTGAAAGTAGATCCTCTCAATGCTACAGCAAGGTTGTATCGTGGTAGAGCCTATGCTAAATTGTCACAATGGATACCAGCTGTTCAAGATCTGTCAGCTGCCATTCATCTGGATCCTAGAAACTGGCAGGCATTTTATCATAGAGCTTGTATCATTAGAAAGTAAGTTTGTGTCTTTCATTTTGAAGAATTCATCTTGTATACTTAAAACTTGTGGCCGTGGGTTCTTATTTCAGTCGCTACATAGAAGTCTGGTGACCTTGAATAAGTGATCTTTCCTCATTATTCCAGTCAACCGAAAGTACGAATTATCCAGTGAAAATCATTGCCAAGAGGTTTTGCCAAGGACCAGCTGGCAAACATTCTATCTTTTTTTGAATTTTGATCCAAATTTGAATATGTAACTCTATAGATATAATCTCGTAATAGTTTTCAAACTTTTTTACCTTCAGGACAAATCGTGAGAGAGCTCTACAAGATTATAGTATGTCTTTATTATTAGATGATTCAGAAGAGAATATTTTATCATATTTACATCGTGGTATACTTTATAATGATTTAGATTGGTGAGTAAGGAAAATAAAAAAATACTTCTTGTCTTCAAATATTTTTTATTTTGATATTTCCAGTAAATATCTTTGAATTTCCTATGTATGGAAATTAGGATATTCATTGATAAACATTGACTTCTATTGTGTAGCCACTTTTAGCATTTTGGTTAGCATAAATCATGACAACTTATGATGTTAAAATTTGTTTAAAAAGGAATCCTTTCAGAACATGGATGGCAAGTTTAGTAACCCTTAGAAAAATTGAACAAAACACCCTCATCTTCTATTCAATTGGATGGAAATCTTATATCCAAAATTTGTGCTCTTAAACATTCCCTAAATATGTTTTTAAATGTTCGAAAAATATCTGTATTTCAGCCCAGAAGATGCTATAGCTGATTTTGAAAGTGTTTTAACATTAAATAAAGATGTAGCTTGTGCTCATGTTTGTTTAGGTTTAATTTATATGACGAAATTCAACAATTATCATAGGTAAAATTATCATAAATTTAGCATAAAAATTCATATTTCATATGGAAGAATAAAATAAAAAAAAAAGTTTCAAAAGCTTAGACCTTTTTTTTTAATTCTTACTCATTTATTTTAAATATAAATTAAAAAGTTACTGATATATGCATTTTTTTTTTTATGCAGAGCAATTAAAAAGTTTACATCAGCAATAAAAGTAGATCCGACACATCTTAGAGCCTATGTTTGTCGTGGTGAGGCTTATCACAAGATACATGAGGTAAATATTTTTTTAAAAGTAATCAATATTTAGTTAGTAAATTTTTGATTTAATCACGTGATACATGAAGTAGATGTGGGTATTGGAATGATATAGTTAGTACGGTTTTGTCACATGATACATAAAGTAAATGTGTTTTATTATATTCGATATATAGCTAGTAAGGTTTTGGATTTAATCAAGTGATAATGAAGTAAATGTGATGAAGGACATTTGATATCGGTAGTAAGGTTTTGTCACATGATACATAATTAGGTTTTGTCACATGATACATGAGGTAAATACTGAAACTGAACATTGTGCCAAATGTTGTTGAAACTCGCTTTTTATTGGCTGCTCTGAATTAGCCCAGAGTAATTTTATTGGTTAAAGCAGAGGTTATCAGGTAAAGGCAAAGGTTATTCATACAAAGAAATTAGAATGATGCTGTTAGACCTTTACTGGAGTGGTTGAGTAAAAACGAAAGTTTGGTCTAAATTTGATTACACTTGGTGTGGACGTGTGATGTTCGAATCTGAAACATATTGATGTAAATATGTTTTTTATTTCAGTTAACTCTGGCAATCCGTGATTTCTCAAGAGCTATCCATCTCAGACCAGATATTCAACATTATTACATGTATAGGGTAAGTTAAATACTTAGGTTGCCAAGCACTTTGAAAAGGACTTCAGTTGTATCATAACCTCCTGGCACTCGGGGTTAAAAAAGGGATTTGGTGCATTCTGATACATCTTTGGGTGAAAAACTTTTTCAAAAAGGTGTACAATTAAAGGTATTCTTTTCTGATATTAATTCATGTTTTAGCTATAAAGATAAGCTTACATCATAAGGATAACTTGTTTAGAAATAACAAATTGTTTGAAAACATACGGCAAAGAGCCAACTAGAGGCCCTAGAACAATCAAAAGATTGCTTGTTGTCATGGGTTATTCATGTTATGGTCTCATTTTCGTATGGTGAAAATTCAAGGATTTGAAGCAATTTTTCATGAAAAACTATAGAAAGTAGTTTCAGACAAAAAAATTGTGGATATTGTGTTTAATTGCAGGGTCAACTGATATTAGAAACTGGTAATCTCGAATTAGCTGCATTCTGTGTAAGGTAAGGATCTCAACCAGTCTTATCTCAGGGGGAGCCACCAGAGAGTTGCATGCTTGTTCTCTAACCAGAAGGGCCAGGGTTTGCTTTGGGCATTGGTCGAGATAATACCTTCAAATTTTTCAACCTGGTTTCCCCTGTCGGTGATGCAAGTCGGAGGGGCTGAAATGGAACAAGTATCTATTTGTTCTGATGGGAAAGTGAACTGACGCTTGTGAACATTAAAGATTCTTCAGGAATTGCAAATGAAAAAAGAGCAGGTAATGCTGCTGCCCTGGCAAAATTTCTTTCATTTTCATCTTGAAGGTGCAGATCTCATTGATAATGAACGAAAGCATCATCATTATATATTAACATCATTAAATTCATCATCATTACCTACTTGTGTTTCATTACCATCATCATAATCATTATGCTCAGAAATCTTTATCTTGTCCAAAGTTTCCATCATCCAAATAATCATTATCATCTTTAGTCATCATCCTCTAACATCGAATTTGATCATCATCATCATTAATTACCTTCATCATAAACAGCAATCATAGATGTTGGCCGATTTTAATGATGATCTTCCAACTTGAGTTGCTTTTATTTTGTAGACAAGCTTCAGAATTAAATACTGATACTGTAGCTAGTTCACTTGGAGAAAAACCAACACAACAAGCTGTAGTTCAGTCATTCCTTAAAAATTATGATAAGGTAAGCAATAGTACTGTCTAATGTGATTTTGATTTCTTTTCCCTACTTAGCATCACATTTATCATATCAGCACATTCAAGATAGTCATATTGACTTTTACGAAATTTTGTTATCGACTAGAAAAAATAACGAACATGCAACACGAAACCCCAAATCTAAACAACGTACTGGCAAAACATTGGTAGCAGCTAATAAACTTTTCACATGAAGAAGTATATCCATCATAAGTGAGTTAGTATTTCATTATGAAAAGTGGTATCAGATGTCTAGAAGAGTAAGCAAACCCTGCATAGTGCTACATGTGTCATACACATGAGCATTTTTACCTGAAGATATACATGGACGTTTAATGTTCTTGTGTGTTGTCAAAACAGATGTAGATTTAACTCCATCTTATTTCATATTCTTCAAATGATAGTTTCATAAAATGAATTTATTTCCTACCAGAGAGGCCGATCTGTTGATGACCATAGAGTCAAAGCTAATCCTGCACTGTTAAAGGTTATTTTGTGTGAAACTAACTGTACAACACTAACTTTTTTAACTGCCATACCTGTGACTGCAAAACACTTACATTACAACATTGATGGTACAGCACTTACTGTACAACACTAACTGTTTTAACTGCCATACCTGTGACTGCAAAACACTTACATTACAACATTGATGGTACAACACTAACTGTTTTAACTGCCATACCTGTGACTGCAAAACACTTACATTGCAACATTGATGGTACAACACTTACTGTACAACACTAACTGTTTTAACTGCCATACCTGTGACTGCAAAACACTTACATTACAACATTGATGGTACAACACTTACTGTACAACACTAACTGTTTTAACTGCCATACCTGTGACTGCAAAACACTTACATTACAACATTGATGGTACAACACTAACTGTTTTAACTGCCATACCTGTGACTGCAAAACACTTACATTACAACATTGATGGTACAGCACTTACTGTACAACACTAACTGTTTTAACTGCCATACCTGTGACTGCAAAACACTTACATTACAACATTGATGGTACAACACTTACTGTACAACACTAACTGTTTTAACTGCCATACCTGTGACTGCAAAACACTTACATTACAACATTGATGGTACAACACTAACTGTTTTAACTGCCATACCTGTGACTGCAAAACACTTACATTACAACATTGATGGTACAACACTAACTGTTTTAACTGGTACACCTGTAACTGCAAAACACTTACCACCGACATTACATAATCGACTGCACAGCTCCAAGTGCGCAAAACAATTATTGACTTCACTAACTGTAAATCAACAACATAACAACATTGACTGCACTACACTAACGGTACATTTTCTGCACAACATTAACTGTACAACACCAACTGTAGAACACTAAAATTACAACATTGATTGCATCAACACTTACTGCACAACACCAACATTACAACATTAATTGCACAGCACTATCTATACAACACTAACAATACAACATTTTCTTTACAACTCTAATTGTACAACACTTACTTTACATTGATAAATGCTGAACTTAATTTGATTTTGTGTAATAATTGCTTGAGGTTGATTTTATTAATTTAACAAAAAGATTAACAATGATGTCATTTATAATAAATTTCCTAACAAAGCTTACCATTGCTGTGCTTGATTTGGGATAACTAAGTTGCAATTGTTTGAGTATCCAGACACCAGAACTAGCCTAAATCTTACCAGAATCTTTGGATCATGGTGTTGCATTCTGAAGAAAGGAGTGTTCATTTTTCAGCATTGAATCTGGTGATAAAAGAAACCAATTGACTTATTATCAGATACTGTTGGATTTATATCCCTTTGAGGACAGCCAAATCCTTATTTCTCTGCCATTGCTTTCGAGAGTCAGCCTAGTACCTACTTTCAAAAAAACCACCTTAATGTAACTGATATATATTTTTTTAGGCTATTGATGCTCTTGCCTCTGCTACACGAGTTGTTAGAGATCAAGGTGATAATAAACCAGTAGCTCCACTGTTTATGTTATTGGGCAAGACCCAGATGAAAGCTAAAAGATTCCAAGATGCTGTTCTGAGTTTCAATGAAGCTCTAGCTAGACTGGTGAGTAGAAAACATGTTAAAGGGATTGTTAAGAGGTTTTCTGAAACAATTTTTATTGCGAACACTGATAGCATCAATTTGCACCCTTCCAGTTTTTTATATCAAACATCCATGGTTCCTGTAATTCCACTACAACTAAGTGTTTGATGACGTCAGGAACCACAGGCATCTGACTGAAAGTTGAAAGACATGTGTCTTCAATTCACAAACATGGGCTAAAAGTAGTACTCCCCTCTCTCTATACATTTATAGCATAAATCATGCAATAACCACGAGTTAAACCATGTTATAGCACAGCTAGGCTCCTCCCACTTGTTTATACAACAAGAAGATCAAAGGAAATTTTCGATATAATATGATGGATTTTAATTTGGAAGCTCTTCCAATATGATTTTATTATAAATGATTTACAGAAACCTTGGCGTATCAGAGAACCCTGGCCAATGGAAGCTAGTGAAGCACATTATTTGTCTGGAGTGTGTCATGAAGAACTTAAATCATACAGTGATGCTGTGGAATCATTTAATGCTGCTATCAAAATTGATTCCAAGTTTGCTGCAGTAAGTTAACACTTGGATTTGAATATGGTTATTTTCTAAGAAGATTTTGAGTTTGTCATGTGAAGTATTGTGTTTAAATTAAGCAGGATGTCAGAATTGATTGTGGAACATTTTTTTCTCACTATCAATGATGAACACCAAGGGGGCGTTTGATTGGCAAGTCCTGCACGTTCAAACGAAAATTCAATAAAACAGTGTTCAGAATGCGTTCCACCTGTGCTGAAAAAAGTAGGTGTAGACAGGATTCAAAATGACAGAGATAGGAATTGATGTGTAAAGTTTGAATCTGACATATCCAGTTCCATATCGTTCTTTTAAAGCCAGAATTGGAACAGATAGAACCTGTTTGGAACTAGCCAATAGAGCATCACCTCTAAGTTTGAAAGGCCCTCTAGGTTAATAAAAAACTGCATTTTACTCTCAAATACAGATTGCATCTGCTTTTGGTCTTTTCCATGTGCCCAGTTTTTAGGTATGACTGATCAAGAGAAATGACAAAATGCACCAAGAATTTGTTTGAAAATAGATCATGTTTACAGGCATTTTACCAAAGAGGTTTAGCTCGTATGAAGTTAAGACAATACAAAGGTGTACAAGATTTTAACAGAGCTTTAGCAATTAATCCAAAGATCTTCCAGGTTTGTACACTTTTATATTCTAATCACACAAAATCACTTCATGTCTTAACAGAGTCTGCATGGCCAATCAGTTGGAATTACCTTAAAGCGATAAATAGTATAATTATTTGCCCTACTATTTATAGAGCTCAATTTCAGTTTCAGTATCCCTTTTCACAATGAAAACCAGAGGTGAAGTCTGTTGCCATTTCCAAAACTTTACACATTTGCATCAAATGTGTCTTAGCTCTTAAGTCCAGTTTCAAGTTTTATCATTTACACATGTATTCAAAACCACTAATCACTATTAATATAACATGCTTTATTTTTGTGTTGTTGTATTTTTAGGCGTTTTTAAGTAGAGCCTGCTATTATGGTATGAAGAAAAACTATACAAAGGCCATTTTAAACTGTAACGAAGCTTTAAAATTACAACCAAATAGTGTCAGAGCTTACTTATACAGGTACAAACAATGTTAATAGCCTTTTTCTGTTAACCACATCTCCTGAAACCCTCATTACAACAACTCCTGATATTTCTTTAACCACATCTCTTGATATTTCTTTAACCACAGATACTGATATTTCCTTAACCACATCTCTTGATATTTCTTTAACCACAGATACTGATATTTCTTTAACCACAACTCTTGATATTTCTTTAACCACATCTCCTGATATTTCTTTAACCACATCTCTTGATATTTCTTTAACCACAGCTACTGATATTTCTTTAACCACAACTCTTGATATTTCTTTAACCACATCTCCTGATATTTCTTTAACCACATCTCTTGATATTTCTTTAACCACAGCTACTGATATTTCTTTAACCACAACTCTTGATATTTCTTTAACCACATCTCTTGATATTTCTTTAACCACATCTCCTGATATTTCTTTAACCACATCTCTTGATATTTCTTTAACCACATCTCCTGATATTTCTTTAACCACATCTCCTGATATTTCTTTAACCACATCTCTTGATATTTCTTTAACCACATCTCTTGATATTTCTTTAACCACATCTCTCCTGATATTTCTTTAACCACATCTCTTGATATTTCTTTAACCACATCTCCTGATATATCTTTAACCACATCTCTTGATATTTCTTTAACCACATCTCCTGATATATCTTTAACCACATCTCTTGATATTCCTTTAACCACAGCTACTCATATTTCTTTAACCACATCTCCTGATATTCCTTTAACCACAGCTACTGATATTTCTTTAACCCCATCTCTTGATATTCCTTTAACCACAGCTACTGATATTTCTTTAACCACATCTCTTGATATTTCTTTAACCACAGCTACTGATATTTCTTTAACCACATCTCTTGATATTTCTTTAACCACAGCTACTGATATTTCTTTAACCCCATCTCTTGATATTTCTTTAACCCCATCTCTTGATATTTCTTTAACCACATCTCTTGATATTCCTTTAACCACAGCTACTGATATTTCTTTAACCCCATCTCTTGATATTTCTTTAACCACATCTCTTGATATTTCTTTAACCACAGCTACTGATATTTCTTTAACCACATCTCTTGATATTTCTTTAACCCCATCTCTTGATATTTCTTTAACCACATCTCCTGATATTTCTTTAACCACATCTCCTGATATTTCTTTAACCACAGCTACTGATATTTCTTTAACCACAACTCTTGATATTTCTTTAACCACATCTCTCCTGATATTTCCTTAACCACATCTCCTGATATTTCTTTAACCACATCTCTTGATATTCCTTTAACCACAGCTACTGATATTTCTTTAACCACAGCTACTGATATTTCTTTTACCACATCTCCTGATATTTTTTTAACCACATCTCCTGAAACTAAAGTTTAAACTAGGGTGTTCTGTGTATCTTTCGCCGGCGTTTTGAGTAGATTGTGTATATTTGCAGTAAATCTGAGAGTTTATTTGGCAACATCCACCAAATTCCAGTTCATTGTTACTTTCTGTTTTTTCAGGGGTGCACTGAAATTTCATATCAGAGTATATGATTTAGCTATTAGAGACCTGTCTAAAGCTGCCTCAATAGATAATACCTGTTCTCTAGCTTTCTTCAACAGAGCTGTCTGTTATCAGGAAAACAAGCAATTTGATATGGTAAGTAACATATAGACATCAAGCTACATAAAGGGATTGTAAAGATTTTTTTCTAAATTTTTGTTATGTACCAGGGCCACTGATAGCATTAATTTGTACCATTAAATTTATCAATCAGACATCTGTGGTTCCTGCAATTCCACACAAAAGAAATGTTTCATGATGTCAGTTATTGCAATATATACAAGGCCCTTCGCAATTAGTGATATCATAAAAAAAATTAAGAAAACCTCTCTACAATTCCTTTATAGTAGCAGCATGTTTCAATTTACAGGCTATATTTTGAAATATTTACATAATAGTCATAAAGTAATGGTAAAAACTAATGTTAATTTGAAAAAAGATGGTTATGGTTAAAACAGGTTTCAAATATGTTACAAGCAACAAGTTCTTAGGGATTTATATTGACATTAATGTAACAAATAAGATTTACAAAATATGATAAAATATACAGAAGGCGAAATATTCAAGCATATTTGTTGGTACTTTAAGACCAAATTTCATAGTCTGGAATGACCAGCCTATGAATTTGGTCTGAAATTTCATAGTTTTGATCAGTCATGCCTTAGCTGATTTTTTATTTTATAAAAACCTTTCTTTGGATAAAAGCTATTTTGCCTAAATCAAGATGACTTTTGATAACTGATGCTATTTTTCAAATAAAAAATTGGTTTGGCATGCATTGTCTGGCTTTAGATTGAATTGGACCATTAAAAAGATATGACATCACTTCTTGAAGTTCCAGGTAACATTTTATACTTGTTTTTCAGGCTCTGATGGATTATGGTATTGTATTACTGTTGGGAGATAAACTACTATTAAAGGTATTTCTTGTCTTACAAATTTGTAAATTAGTCAAATGTTTGTAATATCATTCAGCTGGAATATACATGCAGTTGAATTCTTTCAACAGCAAGCAACAAGCAGTACTATATTGTCTACAGAATCAAATCTTGCCAAGCATTTTGGTAGGAAGTGAAACACAACTACCAAATACTACTTAGTCTTAGATAAACATTGGGTTGATGGACATTAAAGTAAGAAAAACTTAACTTACATTTAAGGATTTTTTGATGATTATAATTTCAGGTGTTTATTAATCGTGGATTGTTATATTTTGAACGAAAGGATTATGATAATGCTGTGTATGATTTTCAAATGTCGGCTAAACTCAGTCCACTAGACCACAGAATACATCATACACTTGGTCTCTGTTATCATAAGTATGTTGAGATATTTTTTTTACTTTTTGGAGGAACACAACTTGCAGCTATTCATATATTTTTTTTATCAACTTAATAAGTATAGTAATCATACTAATTGGTTGGTAGATGACAAGTTAACATTCGCTTCCAGCAGATGCTGATATCACAAACTAGGTAGTTGTTGGTAGTCTAACTTTGACCATTCTTTAAAACATATAATAAGATTTAACATAAATGGACTTGTGCAGGCAAGCTGCATAACAACAAGAGCTGTAATAAATCCCCTAGTCCATTTTTGATCATTAAGCTTACTAACTACAAATGAAAAGCCTATATACGAAATCTGTCAACAATCGATAAGGGATATACTTCACATACTTTGTAAGGAAAAAGAGATGTGTCCTTATCCATGGTTTTTAACCTAGCCATTAATAGTAGTATAATTTTTATTGCTTTCCCACACATCAGTATGTTTGAACAGAATATTCTCCAGCTAGTAACTATGGTCTATAAGATGAATCATACTATTATACTAGTGAATACCTAATGCCACTCTGCCACTGGGTGTGTCATCTTGCTTATCCTTTGGGATTGGGTAATAATATTGATTTGGTATTGAAATAGAACCTCATAATTGGGGCAATCGATTGGTGAATTCTGCACATCCGAGATTCTTTTGATTTAAGCTAGAATTGAAACAGGCAGAACATGTTCAGAACTAACCAATCGAACGCCACCCTTGAAACACATTCATAATATTGAATCCTGCAGATAAGATTTCTGTTTTGTTTCAGACTTGGAAGACTACAAGAAGCTGTACAAACATTTACTGATTGTCTCAAATTAAAACCATTCTTCTTGGATGGACTAATTTCTAGAGGTAATGTTTATATGGATTATGGTCATGCTGATGGATTGGACTTCGCAAGGTAACACATTTATTTTATGTATAATACTGCCCCTGTCCGTCTGTGAACATTTCTTGTAAACGCGAAATGGGCTAGAGTTTTTATTTTATGAATGACATGTATGGATTGATAAGATCTGGGTCGGTTCTAATTTGGTTAATTTTGGGTGAACTGTTTTTGAGTTATTGCCCTTGACTTAGTAAAAACCTGTTAAATTTAGCTTATTATAATGCTACTCATGTAATATTTAGCCTTCGCTCTTGTGTTTATATTTACAAAACAAATTGTTTGTAGAAGGTGTGTTGTTTGGCCATTGGAAAAATTT